CGTTCTTTGTTTTAGTGACTACCACATTGAAGCTGTATTTATTAACTGAAAACATAATTATTGTTGGGCTAATATTACAATACCGTTAAAATGTTCTCACCTTAATGACAACGATTACTGAAGCTTCTATATACGACCATTCAGTCTTAACAAGACTTGAGAGCCACAATAATAATGTGAGATATTAAAATCTTCACCTCGAAGGACGCTGCTCTCGAACAAACGTGCAAAATATCATGCACACGATTGAGATTCGGAAACTGGCTGATGGTTTGCCTGTGTTATTGTTTCCACAGGCAGCCCACGATCGTATTTTCGGATGTCACTACCCCCAAAAATCCTCAACAATAAATAGAAAAAATGTTTTCAACTGTATACCCTCCACCTGAAATAATTATAAATTATTATTAGAAAGTAGAATTTTTGTAATAGTAAGACTATGAAATTTTATCTTATAAGTTCTATAAGATTTTTTTTTTGTCTATTTCCTATCTTCAAATGCTTTTGTTTTAGTCTTTTCGCTAACATACTAGCACATGATTTTCTAATTAGTAGTGCCCAGGGTTTATTGGAAATATGGTTGTATTATGGGATTAGTTACAAAGGATACAGTGAAAAATATTGTGAAACAGTACTATGTAATTTACCAATTGGCACTTAGATTGCACATGGTGTAGCTGATGTTATGGTCACAAAAAAGTTTGGACATTGTTAATGAATTGTTGTACAAATGTACTGAAACTCCATTATTTATTGACCTTATTTGCCTTGATTCCATGATGCTTATCCCAAATATCAACATAGTTGTAAAATTGTAAATCATCTGATTTTAGAAGCAAAATATCTTATCTACTTTTGCAAATTGAATGATAAACCTCTCTCATTAGATATTAAAGCAAGATTAACAAGGACTTATAATATCGAATTATTTATTGCGAGATAAAATAATAGAGTAAAGTATCACTAGGAAAAATGGAACCCTTAATTACCAATTTAATTAATTAATTGTATTAGCCGCACCTTACTATTACTTCCACTATTATTATTTCTTTTCCCTCTTCTTTCTCTATCATATTTTGCTTTAACTATGAATATAAATATATATAT